CAATGTTTGATAGTTAAGCTGTTAAGCCTTCGTTTATTTTTTATCAATTATTTTTTAATATAGATATCAGATATTTGAATCATAAAGATCTCAGACACGAATGACACGATCTGTATAGACTGTATACCAACCTTATTCTATCAGACCCGAATGAAGTTTCTCTTATAATTCGATCTTTCTCCTATTTGTATACACACCTCTCGTTCCGCTTTCCTCCAGTCTCCAGCGCTCTTCTCTTCTAAGATCCGCTATTAAAAATTTATTCTTTTCATGGCCATTTTCAACGCCTAATCAGTTCCACTCACTCACTTTATTTCATTCACTTTACCTAAAGTTTTTATATTTCTCTATCGTACATTACCATCAGATCGGCCTCAGGCGTTCTCGGTACAATATGATTTTGAAAAAATGGTTTAGAGTTTAGACCTGAAAGAACTTTCTTCTTCTTATGAGTTTATTATAACGTTAGTGCGATAACCTGGAAGGACTGATAACTGATAGAACAAATCACCCAGCGGCAGGCCAAAACAATCTCAAATAATATGCTAACTAGGCTCAGTGTGGCTCGAATATCAGTAGCAAAAAAATGAAAAAATAACATCCGAGAAACAAAAGATAAGCCCCTCACGCCAGCGATATAACCGAAAAATTAACGCATATATTACATTTTTAAATTTCAACGTTTCATTTAAAGCAACTAAAGAAAGTAGATATGACGTCAGGTCGATTATTTCTAAAGGAAATACATCGAATTGCTCTTATGAGGATTTTTGTTAATATCTTACTCAAAAATAATTTACATTATATTTGATTGCCTACCTTTTTCTACCATCAGAATATTTTTCTTCAATATCAGCAATGATCTTTGGAACATTTGAACTTTTTACTTTCCCCAAACAACTTTAAACATTTAATGATGTTTTTTTCCCCATAATATTTAAGTAATTCCCAATAATCATAATTGTATAACGTCATTAAATTATTACAAATCTATTTTCTCTATTATTAAGCAAGAACAAGAGCGATATGATAGTTTTATTAGTAAATAAAAAGCTTTAATCAATCCCAAGACAAATGAGATTGTATTATTGCTCAATGAATAAAGGAATATAAATTATTTATTATTCTATATCCGTCACAGTACTAAATAGTTTAAGAATTAAAATACAGCGCGAACTAAAAGTTACTCAAGAATAATTGAAAACTCGAACAAATTTTCTATTTTTTATTGTAGGTATAACAAGTTTTGTCTTTGTACTATTTTTTCAGCATAATTAAAATCTCTCAAATAAACCATATTTAAATACCTATTACTCAACAAGGAACATGCATAACGTCTGTCTCTTATTCAAATCCGTTGAATATTGTCCTTGGATTCCAAAGAGCTGTTTCTGGTTTTGATTTATTAACGAGCACTTGCTTGTTCAAACATAGGAAGTACTAACAGGAGCCGTCATGTCAGGAAATTGCGATGGTCAATGGAACTCTTCTCTTGGAAAGAATCACCTATTCTTCAGCCACAGTCTATTTCCTGCGTCTTCTAGTTTGAGTATCTGAAACAAATAATGAATAATTTCTGTCCATTTGGAAATTAGGCCTACCTACTTAAAAATTACGAGAAGCTGTATGCAACATCCTCTTTTAACTTTAAGTATGTATTTAATTGATAAATCACTAAATCAGGGACGTAGCAAGTCAAGACCGGGTTTTTTGGAAAAAACCCTAAAAACCCTTTGGAAAGAACCAGGTTTTTCGAATAACCGTATTTCAAAAAACCGGGTTCATTGAAACAGCCCGGTTTATTCAAATTTTGGGTTTAAACCCTGATTTTTCTTAAAAAACCCAATAAACCCAAGTTTTTCATTTTTTGCTTCTCTAGGAACACTTTTAAACCAAATCAAATTTTTAAATGATAATTATTAGGATAAATAATAACAGCTGTATGCAACATTCTCTTTTAACTTAAAAGCGCTTTTTAAAACTGGTCCCTTTTAAAAATGTGTATTCTAAACCACACAAATTTTTAAAGGTACCAGTTTTAAAAAGCGCTTTTAAGTTAAAAGGGGATGTTGCATACAGCTGTAAGTGTTTTAATATTTTCAAATAAACTGAATAAAAAAAAACAAAGAAATAAACTCGATACAAAAGAAAACAAAACATAAAACTACTACAAGTCACCTTAATCCTTGATTCTTAACCTAACCTAATACCTAAATTAGCTCGCAGTGCTTGCATTCTTCTGTTTTTTTTTTTGTGGACATTGGACACTTTTGTTTAACCTGTTTATAGAGAACTTGTTTTACGCCACCATGTAACGTTTTTTTTTCCTAAAATACCCAAAAAACCTATTTTTCCTTGAAACCCCCAAAAAATCAAAAAGGGTTTAAACCCATCACTGAAAAAACCCGGGTGGGTTTAAACCCAAACCGGTTTTTTGGGTTTAAACCTAAAAACCCGTGGACCCATCACTGCTTTCCGGACTCCTCACGCAATATACAATTTTTGATGAGTCCAAAAAACTCCAAAAATTGATTGAATTCCGTTGACAAAAATGTAAAGTAAATGTGACATTAAAAATTCAAAACTGATTACACATTGGCATTGTTGCGGCAAGAGCGTCAGGTATTTTTTTTTCTGACTGCTATAACGACTTCTAGGGACTACAGGGTTGGATGGGACGACCGGGCAACCGGGCAAATGCCCGGTGGGCCTCTATACTCTGGGCCGGTCGGGCCGCAGGCGCGACGCGTCTTAAAGTAATAATAAAATTTTAAAATTTATATATTTGACAAAAACATCATGAAAACTATCCAAGACTGTGGTCCGAATATAACCAGGGTTGTGGTTCCGCGGTCCGAAAGTAATCAAATTACTCTGGTTCCTGGAAAAATGGTTACATTTTGACCTTGGTTTCCTGAAATCTGGTTAACCAAATGTCAAAATAGTTACCGGCTATCAAATGTCGGTTCTGTTGGTTTTATCTGTAAATTCTATCAATTATTTTTTATTTCATATTCGCGTTCCCCAAGTAACCAAAATTTTCAGTAACCATCTGTCAACCGATTCGGTTACTTTGGTTACCGTTTGGTTATATTCGGACCATAGCCTAAAATAATATAAAGGCTGTGGTCCGAACATAACCAGGGTTGTGGTTTCGCGGTCCGAAAGCGATCAAATTACTCTGGTACCTGGAAAAGTGGTTACTTTTGGACCTTGGTTTCCTGAAATCACTGAAATAACCAAATGTCAAAATAGTTACCGACTATCGGATGTCGGTTCTGTTGGTTTTGTCTGTAAATTCTGTCAACAATTTTTTATTTCATATTCGCGTTCCCTAGGTAACTGGAATTTTCAGTAAAGCAGGACGCGCACTGAATCGACTCGGCGAAGAGCATTCGGTAGTTTTTGATACTCATGCAATTAAATGAGACTCGACTCGACCACATCGAGTCGACGAGTCCGATGCCGTGCGCGGAGTCTCATTTTATTGCATGAGTATCAAAAACTACCGAATGCTCTTCGCCGAGTCGACCGGTCCGAGTCGATTCAGTGCGAGTCCTGCTTAACCCTGTCAACCGGATCGGTTACTTTGATTAACATTTGGTTATATTCGGACCATAGCCCATAGTTTTACACGATTTCGTCTCACAATTACACGATTTATACACACGACCTTGGTACCTATTTAGTAACATCAAGAAGCAAGTATTTATGATTTTGGAAAATGGGTCAAATCCAGTCAAATCTGAGGGTAAATCATCGCCCCTCAACCAAAAATAAAGCTGTGGCAACGACAGAAAAGCGATCCGAAAGTAATCTAATTACTAATTACTCTGGTTCCTAGAAAAGTGGTTATATTTGGACCTCAGTTTTCCTGCCAGGATGAGGCACCCCAAGAATCGTAAACTCTACAGGATTGCTCAATCGGCTAAATTTGTTCACAATTGCTGTGACGTCACGCGCATGCCGGATTTTCAAGATGGCCGCTGATACGAATGATGTTTAGTTTGTGCTGACAACTATTTTATCGTAAATTCGGATTTATCTAGTGTTATAAGTGTAAATTTAAAGTTTCATTTAATGTGTGTAAGCATAAAAGACTCGTGGCTGAAAATACTCGCGAAAACCCCAAGCATTTTCTGGTTTTATAATACTGGATTTGTTGTATCAGGACATCGCTCTTTTATTTGTGTGTATTGCTAGTTAGTATTTCCTAGTCAAGCATTTGTTTTGCTTTTTTTTTATAAATCAAATATCTACTTAGTTGTAAGTTTCCTTTGCATGTAATTACTAATAAAAATTAGGGTTTGTGAAGAGTGAATAAATAAATATGTAAATAAATTCCTTTACTGGCGCGTTTACTATGAAAACGCATGGAAAATATGGGAAACTTGCAATGTTTTTCTGGAATATGATTATGAGAATCTAAATTAGGTATCACTATTTGGCTTTGTGAAATAAGCTCACTTTGAATGTCCATATTAAATCGTTCTAGTACCTATTAAATTAATGAATAATAATTGAGAAGTACCTAGGTAGGGTCAGTAAAAAATAAAGCACACTATTGCAACCCCGTTTCGCCTATATTTTGATATTGAAATGCAAAAATTAAACCGGCTCGGCACCCCACATTTGGTTTTCTACTGTTTCTCAACTGTAGTCAATTGTGCCCGTTTTGTGCTCAATTGTGCCAGTATTTATGCGAATTGTGCTCATTTTCATACACAAAAAAAACATTGAAACGAATCCGGGGGCCAGCTTGACTCCAGCCCTTCGTTTTTTTGACTTTTTGGCAATATGTTTGGCTAATTGATAAACAAAAGCTAACAAACTCGTCTTTCTAATTAGCAATTAGCCAACCACTCAAGCCTCAAGGACACAAGCTTTTGAAGTCTGCTAATTTTAAAATCAATAAATTAATTACAAAATACAGTTTTCAAAGGAAATAACCTCAAAATAACAATTTTTCACGTTTGAAAATGCAAGGATAGTACTGTCATAAAAAACACAAACCGATCAAGGACTGCGTGACGTCATTCGCATACCGCCATCTTCGATATTTTTATGAACGTTTGTCTTATGGGATTGAGCAATCCTGTAGAGTTTACAATTCTTGGAGGCACCCCAGATGACGTTATACAGTTATCAGGCAACCCACTTCTCTCAAACATCCTAGCCATAAGGGTATGTACCTAGAAATTATTTGCTTTACATCCATTAAATTAAAACCACAAAATTATAGATCTAACATATTTTATTCGGACTAAAATTGATGAATATTGGAGAATTAATAGATACACTTAGTGGTGCCCTTCTGCTTGTTTACGACGAATTTCAGCCCATTTAGCCACATTTTCAGGAGAATTAGCTAAAAAATAAATCATTCGGTAAAACACCAAATTTATGATATTGAGTTCAGAGTTACTCACCCATGTTACTGATCTTTTTGAACAAAGGTAGAGCCGCCAAAATCCCAACTAAGTACCATCTGCATAGAAAATTGTTCTTGAAGTAGAATTTATAAGGAAACTGAGCGATTTTCGCAGAAAATGTGTATGGATATTTCATGGGTCTGCCTGGTACTGCTGGTGCATCTGCCATTGTGTCTTGGGTGATCTAAATTTGAAAGCTTTTATTAAAAATCTAGGAAGGCTAGAATTACACAATTCCTAAAGTATTTAAATCCATAAAAAAATTGCATGGGTAATTTTAAGGATAAATTAGAAAATTGGGGTATCTGGGTATAGCATAAATAAAATAGGAGAATCTTGCTTGATACCTATATGGTTGTTTATGTAATACCTGTCCCTTCAAAATCCATTATTCAACAAAGCTTATTTTGATCATTACATTAAAGAAATAGCAAACAAACGAAATCAAGGGCGACTTGAAACCGTAATTAGGCTTACCTTTTGGGGTTTTCTAGAAAAAACGGTTTACAAAATTTATGGATCGGGTCCGAATTGCAAAAATTTGTAAAATGTTATTACGCAACTTGGATTTTGGAACTCCTACTCCCCTCCCAATCGTGGTGGCTCTGCAGTCTGCACAGCAGGAACTGTCATTGTCAAACAAAAGTCAAGTATCACATGTCCGCCAGCGCTTTCGATTTTGCCCAGAACTGCACCCGATTGATCAAAAAGCGATCCGAAACGGATTCACATGTTCGGCTTAAAACGGAGCGTTGCTCTCGGCGAGATTATAAACGTGTTCATCTTGACCAATAGAACGCTCTCAAATTTCGCACCGAGCGCTTTTTCTTGCTCGATGGATCAAAGAGTGTACCATCGTCACCAAAAGTATCTGGGACACAGATAATGCATAATAATCTCCTGGACTAATTCTACTGTCATTCATTTCAATGCATTTGATTCATAGTTTAACAAATATTTGACAATAAAATTCATATAATAGGACAAGAGCTAATGTGATGCTGTCCCAGTTACTTTTGGTGACGATGGTACGTTCGGCTTTTGATTTCACGTGGAGTGTCCTCGGTTGGATTATAATCACTCTCGGATTCCTCCCACCGAGATCTGTGACGTCACCGCCTAGATATGGACAGTGATGTGCGTCTACACGTAGACTTTCATTGTCTACTTTACGTGTAGATAATGTAGACAATGTAGACAACGTGTCAACAATGTAAAATAATAGAGAGATATCGGTGAAACAGATAGCGCGTATGGACGGTAATAACGTCAGGAGTTATTTTTTTAAAGTAAAGCGGTATCATACTTTCAAATAAGAGTTATCGGAATACAGTTTAACGTAAAATTTCCCTATTCGCATTCGTTATTTTATAACCGTAGCCTAACTTGTACCTTGTTGTGATTTGATTTGTGTTGTGTGTTGTTCATAGTCAGGGACAGAGGATTTGCTTTTTTACTATTTTTTGAACAATCCATATTCACTTGAGCACATCAAAAATAATAAAATAAACAATAAACATAACATAACCTATTATTCCACGGCGTTATTTTTAAACGTTATTCGAAATAGCGCTTAACGTAAATGCTGGGTAAATTACGTTATGCGGTAACGTTATTTTAGTACGTAGTGTTAAAAATCGAATCGCGCATAGGTTTAATGTCAAAATAACGTAGACGCTAAATCTGCATGAATCTATTTGGGTTACCGATATCTCTCTAATATAAATGACGTTTAATTCTAACCTCACACTTTCCTTTTTTTGAATTATTTTTATTTTATTATTGGTTTTCCTGATATTTTATAATAAGTGAATGCTGATATCGAAGTGATAGTGATAGTATAGTAACTTTTGATGTTTTTTTTCGAATTTTTTAACATAAGTTATTGTTTACGCCGCATGTAGACAATGTGTAGACAAATGTTCACGTAAACAATTCGAATTGTCTACGCGTAGACAATCAATTGTTTACGTTGACATTAGGCGTATTTTAGCGAGAGTTTTAACCCAGTAGTATGTTGTATTTACTTGGGATACTACATTTTAGCGAGCATGGCTAACATACTATGACGTCACAACATAAAACACAACATAAAACTCGACTGTAAACATGTAAACATCCTAGGAGGGATAGTTACTGGTTGTAGTATGTCAGTGCATCTTTTTCTAATACACGAAAATGAGCATATGGGCAAAACATCAGCTGATTACGCTACGATTACCGACACAGTTCTTTCCATTATAAATAGAGGATTGTTTTTCCTCATTTTGCCATGGTTTTCTGTGATTTTATTTTAGAGGTTTTTTGCAAAAAAAATAAAAAATCTTCACAAAAGTGTAATTTTTTTTTTTTGGCATAGGGTACCCATAAAATTCAAAAATACCACAATCTATCAAAAATATTCGAAAATCTTCACTGGAGAAATAATATTGAAACTCGAAAACGCTAAATTTTACAAAATTCAACAAATCCAAATAAACAACGATCGTGGCGTCCTCTCTTAGACCCTTTGTCAAATACACTCCACCTGTTATTTGGATAACTATGACGTCATGAATCGTAGTATGTGTAGTATGATGTTTACCTGTCGCTAAAATACGCCTATTGTCTACAGGCACATCACTGGATATGGAGCGTTCTGGGAGCCGAAAATGTTAAGTGTTTTGATCGCGGTTCAACTAAAATCGGTCCCTGGTCCTGGTCAAATCTGAACAAATCAAGTCCTATCAGTTCTAGAGATTTAACAAGCGCCAAGCGTGGCTTTAATGTGACTATGCTCACAATAGTTGTATTCCTTTCACACCTAGGAGGAGCTCCGGAACAGCTCCGGGGCTTCACGCGCTTATTCCTTTCGAAAAGTGCTTGTTGCACCACGCATCTGTTCCCTGCAAATCGGGGGCGACTAAGCACCGAAGCGAGTAGCTCGAGTGTTTCAAGCTCTTGAAAGGAATACAACTTATATTGAGCCTAGTACCATCTGTGCTAGTACGTACTACTACTCAGTCGTCAGTACTCATACTCATATTGATGAACTGTAAATCACAGATTTATATTTCGTGGAACTTTTTCATTGCTCGAAAGTCAGGGGGCGAACAGTGTTTGTCCTATGCATCCTATAAGGATAATACACACTAATCAACAATTGACGTTTTTAATTAAAAGAGATAGACGATAAGTATGAAAACATTCGTTTTCCCGCCAACATTTGCTTGCTTGTCAATGTCAATGTGTTTAGCAATTCCCTCGTTTTTATTCGAATTGACGTTTTCAATTAAAAGAGATGAACGATAAGTATGAAAACATTCATTTTCCCGCCAAAATTTGCTTGCTTGTCAATGTCAATATGTATTGGGTGTTTAGCAATCCCCTCATTTTTATTCGAATCGGTGACTTCACCAATGAGTTAGTTACCTTTGTTAAGTGAATGGAAATGACAATGACCGACATAGAATGGTGGATCCATCGGTAACATTTGCGCAGGGTTTGAAATTGAGAAGAAAATGTCGGAAAAGTCACTGCTTTATTCGCAGAACTTCGCTATGAAGACAGTAATGAATTATTTTGGAAGCAAACAGCTTCCGCAAACTAAACTTGAACGTGGATTACTTTGTATACTTGATGGAACGTGGATTTCCCTTTCTTTTGCGAGTATCCTTTCTGATTTTGTGTATCCAAATTTTGACAAATGTAGAATTTGATGGAAACTTATGGAAAGACGCATCCGCCAGTGAATAAGAATTATTTTTATGAAAAGGCACACTACAAAGAATCACCATTGTTAGGAAAAAAACCTTGAAAAAACCGAGGAAATAATAGTGTTTTTCAAAAGTATTGTCTACAAACCACTGTCAACGGCTGTCAACCATTGTTTTCATACTCTTTTGGCATCTGACAGTTTGATGCCAGAGAGAGAGGCTTTTAAATTGAAAAGGTCAATTGCTTATCGGCCTCGTTTTTGGAAATCACAGCCCTATTGTGTAGCACCGTTGCCGACATCAACAACCACGTCGTCAGCTGTTTGCGCCAGCGGTCGTAGTTTAAGCGGCGTTCCGTATCTTAACCAAAGTTACCGAGTGGTTACCGATCGGTAAGAAGCGGCTCGTCTATGGTAACAGTGGAATGTTTTTCGCACGGCCGAGACGGTTTGTTGCACCGTGCCGTAGGCGAGTTCCACAAATCGAGCGAGTGTGGAAATAGTATATTTCCTAACTAGTGCGGAAAGTGCTACTTTTCCGCACGCGATTTCAGTTTGCCGAACGACGCGTAGCGGAGTTCGGCAAGCAATCAAGTGCGGAAAAGAGACTCCGCACGAGTTAGGAACACTATTTTTTCTACGAGATAGAAGGAACGTACCTACGTAATGTGAATTTTAACACCGATATTTGACATAACATTTCTTTTGCAAAACCTGGTATTAAAAATAAATCCAGTAATTTTTTCTCAATATAGGTTAGGTACTCTTAAGTACAAATAAAACTTATTTAAAAAAAAAAAAAACTGAAATAATGTCCCTGATTCTGAAGACAATAAAATCGAGAACTTTTAACAATAATTTGTACGTTTGATGTATCTACTATGAAATTTTCGAAATTTTTAAGCATAAAGTAACCATTCTCTATAGTAACTTGACAAGAAAAGTTAAGTTTAAACCGAAATAATTTAATAAATAACATTATTGTTTCAATAATTATCAATGCTGATATTTGTGTGAGTGTGTCAGCTTATAATTTAAAAATTGACATCTGTCACTTTTCCGCACTAGTGCGGAAAAGTGAAACGTTCTAAACTAAAATGCGTGCGGAAAAGTGCACTTTTCCGCACGCTCGTAGAAAAAAGGTTTTTGAACGAGTTTTTTACAATGCTTTTTCTACGACTGCAAAATAAAACGACCAAAGCGGAGTGGCATGTTCCGACTCCGACCCTCGATTGTAACCCGAACGCAAAAGAAAACACTCTGAGAACCAGATCCCATCGTTTCGAGCGCGCTCAGAGTTTACAGAATGTAAAGCTAGACTCAGCCAAGAAGATTTGATCCCTATAACCCTTTTCACGTGGCTCCGGCTTAACAAACCGCAACATACCGCTCAAATTCGAGTGGTAGGTATCCATCACGTCACTTTGTAACCGGGTTAGAAAACGGTATGTCATTTCTCTAACCGTTTTGTAACCCGGTTAGTTATTTATTAGCGTTAAAAATCACCCCATTATAAAAATTTTACTGGATAGTCGCAGCACTATTTTTAATAGAACAGGGTATGTAAACAACTCCAAAGTTACCTACATGATAGAACTACTGCAATAATTCCTACCCTACTTCAAAAGAACATACAACTCAAACAATATTCCATGCTATGAAATAGATTATGAAATCCTGATTAGTCCAATAAAAACAATAAACACCAAATTGAACAAAGGAGAAGAAATGATCAAAGAAAAGTTCAAACTATTTATTGAAAGGTACATTCCATTATATACCCTAGTTTACACAGATGCCTCCAAAAAGAATGACCAAGTAGGGTTTGGTATTACAATACCACAACTGGAATATAAATTCGCATGTAGACTGCACGATGTGTTGAGTATATGCAAG